AATCTATTATAAATATATTAGCTGGGTGTTTTAATTAAAATGGGTTTTATTTCCAACTTATATTACTTTCTGGCCGACTGTTTTTGTTCTTACCTATTATTCGATTGAATTTTCAGTACAGTTTTTCTAAGTTTTTATCTTTNAGCTATTCTATTTTGGCTCATAAATGGATTGTCTTCAACTCTTTTCTGAAGCCGGATTTAAATATGTAGAAGTGATGTATGGATTGGCTATGAAATATCTAGACATACATTATGGTACCTCCCAAATTGTAGATACAATTTTGTAAAAGTTTTCTCAAGTAGTACCCACAGCAATTTTCAATACAGAGAATTATAACATGTATTCTAAAACAGAAAATTTTATTATCGATTGCTATTATCTGTTCAGCCATTATCAATTATCAAATTCTTGATTGAAATACTTTTATTTTCTATTGTGTTCTAATTAATCTAAATCAAGCACAAAACCGTCAAAACAAATAAGTAGTGCCTGGTTCAACAGGAAACTGTTTGAACCGGTTCAGCAGAAAACTATCTTGAATATTGTTTTGTTATTTTTACTCTAGAAATTTAATGATATTCTAGTTTTCACGTTTTTTGGACTCTGAGTGATACACAGCATTGTAAACCAGATTTAAAAGGAATCTTCAGTTAGAAGCATGTGTCGCAGAACCATTCTATCACCAATGAAAAAAAATTATCAAATAGAAACAATAAATTTAAAAAATGAAATTAAAAAATAAAATTGAGGAAAGAAATCCACATCATTTTAAATGTACAATTTGTCACTTTGGAAATTTAGGAAACTTAGGAAACTGGTATTTAGGTTTGAAAGAATATAATTCTCTTCTGCATTTGCATTTCAAACCAAGATATTCAGCAATAGGAAAATAATTTAACACTTTCAAAAATGATTTTATTGATAAAATTAGTCAATAGTTTTCTTTCCATTTTTCCTCGGAGTAAAAAATCTAAGATTGGGTTATTGCAACTTTAACAGTGGTAGAGTTTCAATTGCTTATTTATTTTACTTGAAACTGAAGATAGAATCTCCGAACAAATTATTTGATACTTTTCAAATCAATAAACATGCTACCAGTCATAGGTAACTGCTTTTTTGATTGTAAAGTTTGTTCAACAATAAATATAAATGAAAAGACACCAAGTGATAAAAATATTGAAATAATTACAACTCACCAATTGTTTTAGTTCTTGTTACCGAATTATCAGGCAATTTCAAATATTATTACCATTGATTGAACAAAGCAATTTACAACTGATAGTCTGACAATAGTTTCTAACTGATCAAATTGCCTTCTCATTTTTCAAAGGTCACACACTTAAATATTAAATAGTTACCAATAATTTTAATACACAGAATGCTATTACTGTTTCAAATATAGAAAAAATAGAAATAGAAAAAATGAATTATGTGAGTTTAAGAAAAACTGATGAAAAATTAATATTAACTAAATAAAAAAAAATTTGACTTTCAAGTACTTCTTTCTCACTGGAATTTAATTTGCTAAAATTGTTTTGAACAAATTGATTCTTAATTTTTGCTATTTGAATAAAAGATGAATATAGTTCGTTGAACTCCTCTCAGCAGGATAACCTTTTAGCTTTATTGATTTGAAATAAGAGGTACTCAACATCTTAAATACAAATAACAAAATCCTAGTAAGCCATTGATACAACTTCTTTTGAATTATATTACTTTTTAGTATTTGAGCATTAATATTCATTGAGATCAATCTTCTCTTTTTTTGTCTTTCACTTGGACTGCATGATATATATGTTCAATTGTATATTTTATAGATTTGATTTTGATAGACTAATGAAGTTTACAATAATGGAACAACAACCAAAAAAGAGCAAAAGGAATAAATTCAGGTTAATTAAAATGTATATTGGTTTTAACTTAAAAATACGAGTTCGGAAATTTTGTCATAGAATAAAAGACTACACAACCTAGATTGCCTCTATTCATAAGATGTGCACTGAATAATAAAAGAAAATTATAAAGTATTAT